AACTGTAAAATATCTAGGATTTTAGTTCAAGGTTAAACTGTAAAATGCCTAGGATTTGAGCTGAAAGTATGAACTGTAAAAAATCTAGGATATGAATTCAAGGTTAAAACTGTAAAATATCTAGGATTTCAACTCAAAGTTATGGATATAACCTTAGCTGAAAACTTTAGAATGGGATATCCTTAATCCTGATCGGATAATTAATCTAGAGATTAAAAATGAGAGGAGAACAAGCAATATTTAATCTCGAGATTAAGAAAAAGAGTGGATTAAGCCTTAATCCCGATATCCACCAATCTAAAGTTTTCAGCTCTTGTAAAATATCTAGAATGGAAATGAATAACCCTGTAAAATATCTTGAATGGAAATGAATAACCCTGTAAAATATCTAGAATGGAAATGAATAACCCTGTAAAATATATAGGATGGAAATGAATAACCCTGTAAAATATCTAGGATGGAAATGAATTACCCTGTAAAATATCTAGGATGGAAATGAATAACTCTATAAAATATCTAGGATGGAAATGAATAACCCTGTAAAATATCTAGGATGGAAATGAATTACCCTGTAAAATATCTAGGATGGAAATGGATATATTGACAGGAAGGAACTGAGGGTTATGATGAGATTCATTGGAGAACCTGTAACAGAAGATGAAATTGAGGTTTGTTACAACAAGAAATGGGCACGTTCAACTTTTTTAATTTGTTCATTTTCGATCAATTTTGTTCGTTTTCTCACTAAATGATCGTTCAATAATATCGTTTATTCAGTAGAAAAAACTGTCGTTTTTTCAAAACTTTGTTAATAAAACGTTAGTTTTTATAAGTTGCTTTCCAAAAAATTGTTTGTTCAGGAAAAAAACGATAGTTTTTTCGAAATCTTTTAAAAAATTCGTTTATTAAAAAAAGATAGTTCTCTTATTTCACTTGAACGATTTTAAATCGTTTTTTTTCCGGTCATTTTTAAAAACAATGATTTTGTTTGTTCTAAAATATTTTGTTCGTTCAAAAATAATGATGCACATCTCTGGTTTAATCATTTTTGACAAGAATCAGAAAATATTGAATAACCTCAGCTAATCAGAGATTACTGAATTTAACATAAGTTAGAGCCAAAGAATACTTAATTAAAATAAAGGAAATTAGGGATCAATTGATCACGAAAAACTCTAAATTGCTGATCCCTAAACTTTTGAACTTGATGGTGCTAACCGTCCAAATTCTAAAATTGGATTTTTTATCTAACAGATATTTCATTTGCAAGGTTCACACAAGTGCATGTGAAAGTACTTAGCTTATAGTGACTGAAATCGATATATCCACAGCAAAAACTTCTAAATGGGACTTTCCGCGCTAAACTGGGAAAACTTGTCCATCTTTGCCACCTATGAGGAATACAAAGTGTTTTCAGTTAGCTTATTGGTATTAGCAGTGGTACAAGTCCCAGTACTAGAAAGTGCCGCAAACTTTTTTATTTATTTAGAATATACTGGAGGAAGCGGACACGGATAAAAATGGATTGATTGATTACACAGAATTCTTTGCTCTCATGGCTCCCAGCAGATCGTAGTTGACTTACTTATGTTTCTAAAATTATGTTATTTTCACAATTTGCTTTTGTCTTTAATTCAAAAATTCCTTCATGTTGTGCCTCGGACCATATTTATTTAATTTATTATTTATTGCTTTCCTTGTTATGAAAACTAACATTAAAAGTTATCTTTTTCACTTTTCAAATACTGACATTAATTTAGTTCATTCTTGTATTTTAGTTTGACTCTTGTAAAATAATAATAAATATACAAAATTACTGGTATGGAGGGGTTTAATGGGACTTTACGCGTAATTTCAAGACACCCTCCATGCAAAGATGGCAACGGTACCCTTGAAACTTGATCTGATAAAAAATGTACAAAACAATGTCATTTTCTTGATTCAAAAAGTGTTTATTTCTGTGAGTGTCATCATTGTTTTTGAGAAGCAAGAAATGCGCCAGTCACTTTGGATCTAATTCATACTTGATTGCAGACAAAGATTTCAAGGTTACCCTTGTATCGGGTATTGTCATATTTGCATAGAGGGTCACTTGCAATTACGCATACAGTCCCTTTAGAACGAATAAATATTTTCTGGAATTATTTGAATCTCAATTATACTTTGAGGCAAACAACAACAAGCTACATTCTTGTTTATGCTTGAGTATATTGCATAATCCCAGCTTTCAACTTGTATTTATCTAGAAAGCATGTTTATATAGACTTTTGCATTGAGCAGGCAAAAAGGAGAGAAGTAAAAATTAGAAATCTAAAACTTTAATCTTCACTTACATTTATATCAATCATATGTTTGCGGTGGTTCATTTCTAATCCAAGCTGTTTGGAAATTAAAAACTAAAAAAATATTATTTTTAGGTTTGCTTAAATATGCCAAGTCAGGTTACTCTGTGACATTTTAATATGCAGATTAAGTTTTCAATTTAAAATGTTTTTAGTAATAAAAAATTTCAAAATAAAACTGAATCAAGCTCTGTGTCAAAGGGTCAAGTTGTACCGAAAATGCTAACACGACAATATGTTTATAAAATCAAGTTCGAAACCATTATTGAAAATTATAACAGTTAAGGATGTGGAGAATACGTTTAAGGACAGGTTTTTATTACTCATGGACAGCTTTAAATAAGTTATTTGTGGATTTTAACAATTTTTGAATAGGTTAACAAAATTTATGATGGATGGGGTTTCTATATTTCATGGATTCAATGATAAAACAAGTTTGTTAACCACAGGTTTATACAATTTATGGAAATATCTATATAATTTATTTACGAGCATAAACAGCTTATGAACATGTACAGTTTCACACAATTTATGGGCACGCTTATACAATTTATGAACTTTATGTTTTAACATTTTTGAACAGGTTTATACAATTATAGACGTTTATTCCTACTTACTTAATAACGTTTTTTATTATTATTGAAGCAAATGTTCACTTTCTGGACGTTTTACAATTTGTTTAAGGAAGTGTACGATTTATGAACGTTTTTACAATTCATGGCGAAGAAAAATTGCAATTTATGAAGGTTATAATTTATGGAAGTTTTTTTTTTACAATTTATGAAAGAAAGTATACAACTTATAAAGAGGTTTACATTCTTACCTAAACTTATGAAAGTTGTCCATACAATATAAACATTCCTGGACATTGCTGGACACCATGTTCACAGGATAAGTATAGATGGATAATATGTCAGTCATATTTCATCATTTCTAACAATATCTTGTTAAATAAGAAACCCAAATTTTGTTACAAACGTAACCACAAGGAAAGTATAGGATAGGACAAGGATAGGTCAAGGTACGAGGATAGGACAAAAACAGGACAAGGAGAGGACAAGGGTAGGACAAAGGGTAGGAAAAGGATTGGACAAGGATAGGACAACGATAGTACAACGATATGACAATGACAGGACAACGATAGGACAACGATAGGACAACAATAGGACAACTACAGAACAACAAGGACAAAGATAGGAAAACGATATGACAACGATAGGACATCAATAGTACAACGATAGGACAATTATAGGACAACGATAGGACAACGATAGGACAACGATAGGACAACGATAGGGCAACGATAGGACAATGATAGGACAACGATAGGACAACGATAGGACAAGGGTAGGACTAGGATAGAAGAAGAATATGACAAGGATAAAACAAGGATAGAACAAGGATAGGACAAGGATAGGACAAGGATAGGACAAATAGAGGACAAGGATAGGACAATGATAGGACAAGGATAGGACAAGGATAGGACAAGGATAGGACAAGGATAGGACAAGGATAGGACAAGGATAGAACTAGGATAGAATAAGGATATGAGAAAGATAGGACAAGGGTAGGACGAGGATAGGACAAGGATAGGGCAAGGATAGGACTAGGAAGGACAAGTGTAGGACTAGGAAGAACAAGTGCAGGACAAGGATAAGACAAGGATAGGAAAAGGATAGGACAAGGATAGGATAAGGATAGGACAAAGATAGGACAAGTATAGCACAAGGAAAGGACAAGGATAGGACTATGATAGAACTAGGACAGAATAAGGATAGAACAAAGATAGGACAAAGATAGGAAAAGGATACAGCAAGGATAGGAAAAGGATAGGACAAGGATAGGACAAAGATAGGACAAGTATAGAACAAGGATAGGACTATGATAGAACTAGGATAGAATAAGGATAGGACAAAGATAGGATAAGGATAGTACAAGGATAGGACAAGGATAGGGCAAGGATAGGACAAGGATAGGACAAGGATAGAATAAGGATAGGACAAAGATAGGACAAGGATAGGGCAAGGATAGGACAAGGATAGGACAAGGATAGGACAAGGATAGGACAAGGATAGGACAAGGAAGGACAAGAAACGGTCAAAACAATACAATTCTAATGAAAGAGAACCCATCAATTAAGTCAATAAATTAAAAATTACGCAAGAGAATATTTCAGGGATAGGACAGCTGATTTCTTTGGCCCGCTTACAGGCCTAGACAAGGATATGTAAATTCTAGAAAGCTCATGCTTAGGATCCTTTTAAAGGGACTTTCTACAAAAGTTCACACCACCAATTTAAAGATATGTATGCCCGATTTACAACGGTACACCCTGGGTACACCTCTTATGTTTCTCTGAATACCAATGATGTAAAAATCGTCTTTTTTCTCCAAAATGTTTTGTTAATTTTGTCAATTTTCGTTTTGTCTTTATTGTATACATACGCAAGTCATTTTTATTTTTTACAAAAAAAAGGATATCTAAGAAATCATTAATCATGCTTGCAAGTTTTGTTAATGCTGGATTGCTTGAATTGATGAGACCAGTTCCTTTAAATTTGAGAAGCCCAGGGATATTAGGGACTGAGGGTAGTGAACTATATCCTAACATACACTGTAAACAGTATACAAGCTGTTTTACAGTTTGACTAGATACTGTTGAGAGGACACAATAAATACCTAGAGACGTTATAGAGATTAATCTTAGGTAATTGTTTTTACAAGCTCATACAATTTTGAATTTTAATATGTAAATACAATAGTTTAGAAACCCAGCGTTGCCCAGGTTACTTAGAATTAATTCCGCCGTTCACCCGCACTAAAATCACTCAACTTAGAATCTCTAAACCAAACTAAGAACACCTCCGGGTTTCTCTTCAGTTCCCCAATTAAAATTTGGCGAATATCGCTCTAGGAGACAGACACAGAACAACTTTATATATATAATACTGATTGCACATGATAATTATACTTATGGCGCAATAAATAAAGAAATTGATTTGTAATGAAGCTTTGTTTAATTTCATCTTCAAGGTAATTAAAATTAACTGAAAGGGACAGACCGGCTATGTAAAGTAGTTAAATTAAGTATGCAGTGTTGTGGACAAATTCTTTATGATTCATTTCAGACATATAAAACGTTTCCATGACATATGTATAATTATTGAGTTTGGGCGCAAAGTTGACGTTCAAAATCATGAATTTGGGTAGGTACGTTTTCAGTATCGCTTTTTTATTATTAAATAACGACGACGAAAAACATAGTAAAAATTCTAAAGTAAACCAATTAGATGTTCTCGAAAGAAATTTGTTGATAAATCGAAGTTAGAATTAATTATTTCCTTTTTCATCATTATATTGAATTTCTTATTTTCTATGAATTTGTTCGCAGATTTCTTCAAATTCTTTAAAAGTCGTCGTTTTAATAAAATTCCAGAAAATCTGCAAAAAATCTTTGTGATTAAAGAGAGATTATATGAAACTAATAATTGAATAAGATTACTTATTTTCAGTTAATTTTTATTTTCTCAACAACTAAACAACTAATAATTAGTTTACTGTAAAATTTTGTTTACATTTTTTGTCGTCGTTATTTGATAAATAATTAGAAACACAATTCTAAAAACGTATCCACCTAAAAGTACGATTTTGAACGTCGACTTTGCGCTCAAACTCAGGATTTACAGATTTTTAAAAAGTTTTATGTGCCTCAAATAAATCCTAAAGAATTTGTCCACAACACTGTGCTCAGTTTAACTACTTTTTATATCCGGTCTATCCCTTTAAATAATGAATGAGATAATTGCATGAAAAAATCTTTTTTCAGATGATTAAACATTGATTTTGCGGCCAGTTGTATCCTTTAAACCTTGATTTATATATTATAGTATATGTAATAATTTTATATCTTTACAGTATATTTATAAATAATTATAGATATATAATACTATAAGATATCGGACAATTCTTTACATTTGTTTCGCGCATTTAAAGCTGAAGTCACCTTTAAACCTTTAAACGAATCGACACTTGAAATTTTGTTGACTCACGTTAAACTAAAGAAAATTTGAAATCTTCATTCAATTATAACTCCTCCCTCTTTATGAGCAATTGTAAGAAGAACGAAAATATTTTGAATTTATTATTTACTTCCAGATAAAGTTTCTTTTTCATATTTGAGTTTAAAACTAGAGGAGCTACGAGGTCATAAAACAGAACTGGTAAAATCCATAGTCCTTCCTTCTGCTTAATTACAAAAGAAATTACCTATTTTCCAGCAACTACTATTAACTATCTTTTCAAGATATGGCGAGTCAACTATTGACAGCTGAACAGATTGGTAGTTTTCAGGACGCATTTAACAGGTATTTTAGGGACAGTTCCTGACTTTTAGCAGGGGATAGAAGGAACCAAATATAGATTGTGAAATGATTGTTATGTTGCTTATTCGGCATCATTCGTAGTTTCTTTTATGTGTATTTTTTTGTATTATACATCCACAACAGATTTCAAAATTCAAAAAAATGTATTTTAAATATTAAGTATTTTAAGTCCATATCGCTATTTTTGACGGGTTTTGAATGAGAGATTAAATTGTAACTGAAAATGTTCCAATACAAACACGATGCGACTCGATTCCCCAGATTTTTATGTCTTTTTTAGGTTCGTTGCAGAAAGGTCTTTTTCTTGACCTGAAAAAAATTATTTCCTTTAACTTAAAAAAAAATTGGAGCCTGAAAAAATGTTTCATTCTTTCAAGACTAAACTTTAATATTTTTTCTTCTAATTTTGACAAATATGATCATTGATCATGTGCCATATGTGTACAGTACACATAGAATTTTCAAGGAATTTTAAAAGTTTTAAATTAAATTGTATTGTATATCTTTTAATTTTTATATTTATATGGAATTATAATAACATATTAAAGGGACTGTAATTGTATTTTAAAGTAAATTCTAATCATAAAAGGGGGATACCCAAAGCACAATACCTTTTTACAATAAATTGAAGATATCATTGAATTTTTGAATTTTTACTACCTCCTTGTTTCTGTATCAAAAAATGTAGAGTCACTTTAGAAATTACGCCTACAGTCCCTTTATATGAAGATGAGCAAACAATTCAAGCTTAAAGGGATTTGATCAAACAATGTTTTTCATTACTTCCATAGGTTTGATACCGCAGGGGCAGGTGTTATTAGCAGCAAACAGCTGGGGAAAGTTCTCAGGTAAAACAAGTATCATTATTGATATTAGTATTATCAATATCATTAATAGAATCATTTTCACTATAATTATCATTATTTTAATCATTTCTATTATTATTATTATTTTTATTAATTTCATTATGGTAAGCGTAATTTAAAGCGACCCTTCGTGCAAAGATCAGCAATGTCCGATTTACAACGGTACCTTTAAATGGTTATTTTGATCAAGTATAAATTATATATCTGTGTTTACATTTATTTGTGGTTTCTCTGCACTAGTGGCTTGCGCATCTCTTGCTCTTAAGAAACAGTGGAAAAATTATCAGTATTAAACACTTTTCGAATTAAATGACTATTTCTTCCACATTTTCGAGCAGATTAAGGTTTTAAGGTTACAGTTGTGGTGCGGGCATTGACATCTTTACTTGGAGATTTCTATGGAGGTTTACTTGGAGGTTTCTATGGAGGTTTACTTGGAGGTTTCTATGGAGGTTTACTTGGAGGTTTACTCGGAGGTTTACTCGGAGGTTTACTTGGAGGTTTACTTGGAGGTTTACTTGGAGGTTTAATAGGAGGTTTACTTAAGACGTTTACTTGAAGATTTACTTGGAGGTTCACTTAGAAGTCTACTTAGAGGTTTACTTGAAATTACGCTCACGCAATCCCTTTAAGGTTTATTGGTCAGAATCCTACTGAAGCTGAACTGCAGGATATGGTGAATGAGGTAAAATCCTCCAAAAATAAAATCTAAAAATACTTGAATGTATACGTTATACAATATGTTTTAATTATAAAAGTTTGATTGAAAATTTAATAAAGATTTCAGAAAGTTTAAATTTTCTAAAGTGGGTTAAACTAAAATGTAGTTTAAACCAAAACCAACTATTAATGATTTATTAAATTTATTCATTTAATGTGAAGGATAAAATTTAGTAAATAATTTATGTTTTGTTTAATAAACTTTTAGATTTGACTTAAAAGGACTGAAAGCGTGAGTTCAGTTGATACTCCAATTGCAGAGTGACCTAGCCAGTCATATTCACTAACAGACTTCTTAATATTTCTAACTTAACATTAACCCTATCACGACTGGGGAAGGGGGGTGTTTTTTTAACCTGCCCTGCACCCTAACCATTACAGTTTGAGGTCTACTCCATTTATTATCTTGGCCTTGAAAAATTGGACTAGGGTCATGTATCACACTCCAAATCCCCCACCACAAAATCTATATTAGACAAAAGTAGCTCAATTAGGAATGGGTTAAGTTATAAATATATATTTTTATCTAAATCATAATGAAACGGGAAGTATATTTGATATGTTTAGGTAGATAAGGATGGAACAGGAAGTATATTTGATATGTTTAGGTAGATAAGGATGGAACATGAAGTATATTTGATATGTTTAGGTAGATAAGGATGGAACAGGAAGTATATTTAATATGTTTAGGTTGACAAGGATGGCACAGGAAGTATATTTAATATGTTTAGGTAGATAAGGATGGAACATGAAGTATATTTGATATGTTTAGGTAGATAAGGATGGAACACGAAATATATTTGATATGTTTTGGTAGATAAGGATGGAACATGAAGTATATTTGATATGTTTAGGTAGATAAGGATGGAACATGAAGTATATTTAATATGTTTAGGTAGATAAGGATGGNGAAGTATAGTTGATATGTTTAGGTTGACAAGGATGGAACAGGAAGTATAGTTGATATGTTTAGGTTGACAAGGATGGAACCGGAAGTATAGATTTTCCAGAATTTCTCTCTATGATGGCTATAAAGGTTGTTGTACTTTCCTAATTTTGCATCATACAATTTCCATATTTTTAAATAGGAAGTATCTAGTCTATTTAAAAAGAAACGTTAGGTTTTTTTTATTTTGCGAACTTTACTTCATAATTAAATTCAAGCAAATCTAATTTTGAAATTATAATTGTGACCCATACTTATTCTCTAGGTCAATGAGCAAAATGCCGAGGAGGAGGTGAGAGAAGCTTTTAAAGTGTTTGATGGGGTAAGTGGAACCTTTTCTGAATCTTAAATGTTTTCTGATCTATAAGGATTTTAGATATTTAATAGGTTCTGCAAGACCTTTAACAAACGAGTTTTTACACTAAACGATTTATTTAACAAAATTTCGAAAAATAGTATTTTTATTATACTGAACGAACAATTTAATTGAACGATTGTTCAGTTAGCATCCTGACAAACTAAGATAAAAATTAATGAAAATTCTGAAAACTAATGTTTTTTCTTTACGACTGAAATTAAAAACTAACGATGTATGAAAGAATTAAAAAAACCCGCCTAACCAGCCCATTTCTTAATGTAATTAATGTTAAGTTTAGTCCAATGAGTACGCAATAGAAGGGAGATACAACTGACGCGGCCCGCTCTACCATATAATTATGCATGCTTTGCAGACGGTACTCATAATCGCATGGTAGGGCGGGCCACGTTAGTTATGTCTCCCTTCTATTCCATAATTCCTTCGTTTAGTCGCTGAAGCTAACCGCCATAATTGCGCGCGCGCTATACACAATTTTCGAAATAAAAAAAAACAATATAACGAATTTGGTTAGATTTCTACAAAGTTGTTTGATTTATATACATATTTGTAGACTTTAAATTGGTTCATCAGATTGCAGTGCAAGATTCTGAAGGGTTGCTAAAAGCAAAACTTTATATTTGTTGCATTTACCAAGGATTCAAATATAAAATGCATTTGTTTCTGGACGAATGCATTCGGTCGAAATAGAAATGCAGATAAAAGTGCAATTTGTCAGTTAGCATTATTTTACCCATTTCCTGTTACAATCAATGTTTCCTGGGTTAAAAGCATAACAGTTTATATTTGTTTGTTTGGGGTCATTAAAAACAAAATTATTTAAAGGGACTGTAAGCGTAAGTTAAATATTGACCCTCCATGCAAATGTCAAAGATGTCAGATTCGACAACAGTACCCTTAAAAGCTTTGACTGATCAAGCATTAATTAGATATCAATGTTTATAATTTTCAAAACAGGGTATTTTCAATTGTGAGTTCTTTATAACTTAAGTGACTTGCATATTTTTACTGCATAAAAGCAAATGGGAATTATCACAACTAAACACCTTTACACCAAGAAAAACGACAATATCTTCCACATTATTGATTAAATTGTTAACTATAGGCTTTCAAGCGCTTCACGCCCATCTCCTATTTTAAATTTAAATTGTGGCTCTATCTTCGTACAACATATAAAACAAACAAATAAATTTTAAGTATTTAATATTTTTTGTTCGTTGATTTTCAATATTTGATGAAAATAAAAACTTTTTGAAGACATTTTTTTGTAATTCTGAGGTTGTCTCGTGAGCTGCCTCAAACATTAATTTTGGGACCGATCGGTTCAGCCATTTTGACGTCTATTGGACACAAACAATCTCCCAGACACCCAAGCATATATCTGTAAAGGATGGGAATGGATTCATTGATCGAAGAGAACTAAGTCTAATGATGAGGTTTATGGGAGAATCATTGACAGAAACAGAGATCAATTTAATCATAGGTAAATTAAGATAATTGAGTAATTGATTTATTGGAGAAAAAAATTTGTTGTATATTGATGTGACAGAAATTGATTAATTTTCTAGTTTTGATACAAATGATGAACAGTAGACTTTTTTTTAAACTGATACATGATAGTAATTATGCTTAAATGTTTAGATGAGACATATATTGATTAATGATTAATATCAATGATGATCTAAGTTTTAGATGAGAAATAAATTAATCATATTCAAATGTTTAGGTGAAACATATATTGATCAATGATCAATATCAATGATGATCTATTGTTTAGATGAGGCAGATATTGATCACGACGGTTTGATCGATTATGCCGAATTCTTTGGAATGATGACTCCTGGTGGAAAAATGCTTTGAAACTCAACTTTACAAATAATTTTGAAAACTATTTTATGTTTCTTAAATCTTAAATAGTCTATTGTCATACAGGGTGAGTCAAAAAAAGTGTGATTTGCGACGCCTGGCGAAAAATTGTACCTTTTTTTTGTGCAACCTCCAGTCTGGTATTTTTTCAATATTTTTTGAAAAATTGTAATTTTTTTTGGTACTTCAATGGCCTAATAAAAAATCCGCGAACCTTTTTTTCTCTCAAAATCAAAAATTTAGAAAACCAAAAATGTGTAAATAAATTGTTTCTATCGAAATCTAAAATTTTAAAAAGATTCAATCACAGAATCTCAGCAAATTTGAAAAATTGTAATTAGAAAATTCGCAATTTTCAGTTCGGGTCTAATTTTTACTGACAAATTGTTTTTTAATGGTTGTTAAGGTTAAGGTTTCAACTGACCAGCGTATATTTAATACTTTAGAAAATGCTTAGAAGAAAGGAACTAGAGAATTTAAGTAACTTTTCCTTAAAAAATAGACCAGAACTAAAAATTGCGAATTTTCTTATTACAATTATGCGAATATTTCGTGATTCTTTGATTCAATCTTTCGATAGAAATAGTTTATATACACATTTTTGCTTTTCTGAACTTTTGATTTGAGAGAAAAATAGGTTCGCGAATTTTCTTTTGGCCCATTGGAGTACCAAAAAAAAATTACAAATTTTCAAAAAATATTGAAAAAAACACCATGACCCAGGCGCCGCAAATCACACTTTTTTTTGAGTCACCCATGTTATGTAGAAAATAGATGGTCAATAAATGATCACAATTATTTTTTCATGAACTGATTACCTGCCTCAAGCTCTAATACTAGACTATCAGGGCGCGGCGCNATTTTTTTTAAATTTTTGGGCGGATTTAAATTTTTTTTGTGAATTTTCAAATTTTTTTTCGTGAATTTTCAAAATTTTTGGAGACATATTTTCAAAATTTTAATTATTCATAAACCTTTCCTAAGGTCAAGTGAGGTCCCACAAATATTTTGGGCCAGATCGGTTCAGCCGTGTTGACTTTATTGGATACAAACAAACAGACAAACATTTAGAAAAGCAATCTTTATATATTCTAAAATGTTATTCAAAATTTATCAATTTTAGATTTTTTTTTAAATAACCTAAATTCTCTTTTCGTTTTTCAATAAAAATTTATTGGTGTAAAATACACAAAAAGTATTAGACAAATCAGAATCAATTTCGAAGAATTTAAAAAGAATTGTCAAGAAAAGGAAAAATTACAGTAATAACTTTTTTGAAACCCATTCTTCTTTCTAATTTGCTATTTCTTCCTTTGACCTGAACATTTGTTTTTAATTACTTTGCTAAACTGCACAAATGAGGATTTTTTTTGCATTTTCTGTATACTTGTTCTTTCCTGAGCTCTGCTTTGTAATTTATTGGAAGAAAGCAGCGACTACGGTTTGTATTGTTCTATGGGAGCAAATACTCTAATGAATTCTAGAGACCAGAACATATAGATATCCATGGATTACATAGATAGGGCAAAAAAATAGTTATCCATGGATTGCATAAATATGACCAGCATATAGGAATCCATGGATTAAATAGATAAAACCAAAAAATAGACATCCATGTATGACTTTAATATGACCAACATAGATATCCATGGATGATATAGAAAACACCAACATTTATCTTTCCATGAATTACATAGATAGGACCAACAATGATCATGGATGATAATTAGTAAGCATTGACTTCTTAAAAACTACAGCTAAAAACTATTGCTACAGTTTTAAAACGAACATATGTCTATGATTACTAAAAAGTTAAAGTGAGTTACTGTGACAATCTAAGAACTGGGCGTCACGTTGCAACACTTCAAATTGGTTTTGTTTTCTACAGCATGCAGAGAAAGAAGGATAAGTAGTGTCGTTGTTTATATATTTCAGATATACCAATATCCTTGTGTACAATCCACACAGAATTATATATATATGAAAATATATATATAATTTATAGATATGATATATTATGCAAGTTCTCGCCCAAAACTTCCATTTGAAATATCTTTATGGAATATATTAAATATTATGTTTAAACTTGAAGTATTCTGATTTTCACATTTTCGACTTCTATCACCTCATATGAGTGTTTGTAAAATACAAGACAAGACAAGACAAGACAAGACAAGACAAGACAAGACAAGACAAGACAAGACAAGACAAGACAAGACAAGACAAGACAAGACAAGACAAGTATGAAAACATGAAATACAGTTTCAAAAGATAATCCTGTTTCTAAAAAGTTCCTGGCTTAAATTTTAAAATTCTAACAAATTTCTGTAGATTTCAAATAGTATTCTTCAGTTTAAATGAAAACTCCGGATTCAAGCACAAATTCGAGATAAAAAAATGAAAAATTTTAGTTTCCAATTGAAAATAAAGATTACAAATGAAATCCTAAGTTCTATCAAAAGTAAAATTTAAAAACAAAATTTAAAACAAAATTCCAGCTACTAAACTTAAAAATTCCAGATTGAATAGAATATTCCAGACTCCAAAAAATATTCCAATTCAAAAAGAATTCCAGATCTAAGCAAAATTTCTGGATTCCTGCAGATTCAGTTTACCGCGTCTAAAATAATTTATGTTGTTCTATAAAATATGAGTTTAGACAATTTTCAATTGTTTGGCTTAGATTCCAAGCCTTCTTTGCATAAACTCTATAAATACAGGAAATCAAAAAAAAATATCCAAATTTTTTTTTCATGCGTTTTAATCATTTACTATATATAGCACTGATATAATCTAAAAAAACGGCTACAAAATTTGTAAATGCCCCTTTAAAGCAATCCAAGAAAATATTGAATAATAAATCTAGTTTCTATTATTTATACCTACACTGCACTTAAATATATCTAAATTTTATTCAAGTGCAGTCTATATTTTATGACAGTATATTACGTTCGTCTAACTTCTAAGGGGATAAAAAATGAATTCATCAACAAAAGACGACCTTCGGATTTTAAGCATGACGAAACATGACAGTTGGTTAATAGTTTCGAATGTTTTTTTTTTCATCATTCCATGTATTGTATTAGATAGACTTTTTGCAGTTCATTTAGTTAAAAAAAAACTTTACTTAAATATATTTTACTTAGAAATAAATTTTACTATAATATGGATGCCATCAAATAGTTATATTATTCTGTTTGGCAACAAAATATTTTACTTAGAAATAATTTTACTATAAATATGATGGATGGACCCTGTATGTAAAAAGTATATTTATTTTGGTTGTAAATAATATTTGAAGGGAGGGAGGGGAAGATGTTTCAGTAGGTATGAAAAGCCTTTTTTTGAGAATAAATTACCATATGTATAAAAACAAATTGGCTAAAATATTAACTAAAATATGTCTTGTCAAGATCAACAACAACTACAAAGGTTTTATCAACGATAAAAATCATAAAAATTACCCTTTAATCTATAGGCAGTTTAGGTTTCCAACGAAAAAGAAAAATCGTTGTGCGAAAATTTCGCATTTTTCTCTGAAAAAAACATTTCGAGAAAATTTTGCCATTTTTCGCATTTCACATTTCGAAAAAAAATAATGTGAAAATTTCGCGAAAAAAATCGGAGTAAAAAAAAATTCTTTAAAAAAGACTAAATACAGCATAAACATCTATTATTTATGAAAAAATAATTCGCGAAATTTTATTTCGTTTTCGCATTTTTTGCTTCATTCATTTGCGCGAAGAAAAGCTAAATTTTGCGAAAAAGTTTACGAAACATAAACGGAAATTTCCGCATTTTACGCGAAATGTTTTGATCGCTGGAAACCCTAGGCAGTATATACACACTGTAAACACGTACAGGGAACCCATAGGGTTTTTGAAAGGGGTTCAAATTATGTATGCAATACATCTTCCGACTTTCCTTTTCCTTGAAAAAATATTCTGTAATTATTAAAACTTAAATTTCTTCATTTTATGCATAAGAACTCAATTTTGTTATAAAAAGATCATTTAATCCTTAGAAAACTATTTCGATATTTGAAGAATTTATTTCGACGTAAAGCGAACTCATCCCTGCACTAGTTCCCTAGGTTTAGTTCACTTTTTCACCAGTAGGTGTCTCAGATAATTAAAGCAGTATACAGTTCACAACTATAAACATATAAATAAATAGATGTTTCAGCATAAAGTAAATTGACTAGTCCCATCTCATCATTTAATTTACAAAAAGCAGAATTTCATATGTTTGACCGACATTATGATAATAAACATACTTCAGCACCAACATTTAAATAATTGAATATTATAATTTCAACTCTCTGGAACCTAACTGGATAATTATTAGAAGAGAATCAGGTTCTGGATTCAAGAAACTCTTGTCCTTTATTCCGGAAAATGCTTCCAAGCAATATCGGAAGCTGGATCCTATAATGCCTTTTTTTCCCGCGAATATCGCGCCACTATTTTCTTTAGCTTGCCCGATTAGTCTTTACAGGGTGAGCTTACCAAGAGCCTACTTGTACCCTTACTTTAGAAAAAAATATGAAAGGAAATGAAAAATTGCCCCGGTATCCTTCATATTTTCATTTGAACTCCGTATGGCCATTAGATAATAGGCGTAATAAGAAATGAAGAAATTTGACGAAACAAATTATAATTTAATAAATATATAATGTTTCATTAAAATATATGTATTCTAGAAATGGAAAGAAAGTCCCTAGACCTGGTCTCCCTCCCCTAGAAAAAATAATGTTCAATTTATATTATTCAAATCATTTGCTACAATTAATTGGTCACAACCCTATGAATTCAAACAGTATTTAATCATATAAAAATTGTAAGTCATATCTCTAATCCAAATTCAGCTGAAATATTACAAAAAGTTGTTTACATCGAGTTTGAGAATTTTTGCGGCATTTTTCGCGAAAGAAAGGGCACTAGATACAGACGCTTTTTTGTAGAACATCGTTTATGGAGCATTTTCATTTTTACACAAATCTAAAATTTAATTGGGAAAATTTGATATTTCATCTATGCCCTAACGTCGCCATATTTTTAAAAAATGTATTTATTTT